CGCATTTCGTGGGATTGTTTGTTCAATCAGAGCCTTCTTTCACCACTTCCACAGTACTCATCCTACCTTTGGTTAGTTAAGGCAAATTCAAGCGCTAGGGTAAAAGAAGGCTCTGATTGAACAAACAATCCCACGAAATGCGACTATTCCTCGCAGCATTAAACGTTAATTACAATCAAAATATCAGCGAAAAGGAGAGAAAGGTGCCTATTGTCTCGATGTCATGGAAAACTTGGCGATTGGAGGTTAAATGAGGGAGTAATGGTAGAGTTTGTTGCACTGCAGGAAAGAGATTATCTTTAAATTGGTGAACTACTTTGATTGCTATAAAAATGAGGTGAAATGAGGACAGCCACAAAATCATATGAATTTGCGTCATCCAAATTTTTCACGTGTGAGATAAGCCTCTACGAAGTTAAAACGTAAAATGAAAATGAAATGGTGATTCTGGGGCTCATAAAATAAACGCATTCGCATGATTTCTACACTTCACTTCTTGACCTCCCAATTGTCTACCTTCCTCCTCCCACATTCTTAAAGACTTTTTTCCCATAGCTAGGAATAATATTACTGGCTTCCACAGTGCCCATTAGTCTACTAGAATTGAGCGGAATAACGAAGCGCACTTGGTAAATCCAACTTCCATACAACACTGTGGAATTCCGATTTCATATTCTGAGAATCGAAGCCGTTGGTGTGTTTAGACTACGTACCGAACACGATTGCCTGGCAAAACATCTTCACAGATTGGGAGTATACACTCAACCCACATGCCCCCTATGTAACCTACAGAAGGCAATGGAGAAGACTCACCTGATTCGGTGTCCAGCCCTAAAGGCAACGACGGAAACCCAGAGATACTGGGAAGCAAGAAGACTGCTAATGAATTGCTATTAATTAACTGCTATAAATGTACCCCCCCCCCCTCTTGTGAAAGCCGAAGTCAACTAAGGGGCTAATGATAAATATCATAAAGCCTGCCATTTGAAATATTAATAACATTCTGAGATTTTTCATGTAGCTATCCCCCGCCCTAACGGAGATGAGTATTTGAAAATTCGTTCTTAAATTGGAGTGAGAAATTTGTGCCGGATAGAATTCAACTCAAGGTATTAACCTCGAATAAAACCGATAGACATGACGGAGTTTAAAAAAAATTATGTTGGAACAATATCTGTCCAATATATGTTGGCATTCAGACGGCAAAACGAAAGCAAAGGAATTATGTTTGAAATAAAAGTTCTGATTATTCCCAAAAATGTAACTTTAGCTCACAATCAAGGTGCTGTAGAGTATGGAATTACTTTTCGTATATGGGGAACTGCGGAAACGACTGGAATCTTTCCTCAATAGAAAAAAAAACAATGTCCACACAGCGATTGCATTGGTCCATTTTAATATGCTCTATGTCGTGAAAAGGCGAGTAAGCATTCACCGGAAAGACAGCATCAATATCATCCATGAGATTGTTGAGGTGTAGAAAGGCCAATTGGTGTCAAACAGGCTTGATTACTGTCAATAGTACCAAATATTCGTGATAGCTAAAGGTGTCTCAATAAGCTTAATACTGCACTGATAAAGAACTCGCTGACAAAAAATATTACCTTTTTCCCAGTACGTATAAAGGACAGAGAGATTTCAAAGATTTTGCCTTTCCAAGCTGAGTGAACTTTACCACCGCATATATTTATATATATGAGAAATTATCACAGCTTTTATTATCTTAAACGCACTTCAGTAGCGACTTTGGAACTAATTCTAGACGCAAGCTTTCAGAAAGTTTCGAATAGATCAGATCTAGCTTGTGAGACAGCAAGTTAATTTAGAGCTTCATGGATAAAAATTAGTTCAATTGGTTTCCATGCGTCCTGAAACTTACTTAGCTGTTACATTTTATGACAATACAAGTTCTTTTCAAAATCTTGCTGCCAAATTGAAGAAAAGGCTTCTCAACTTGCCCCATGGATAGGGAGTCAAGGTTTTACCTCATTATCAACCACTTTTTCTATCGTGCACCTTCGAGCATATCGTTTATTGTGTGTACTTCGATAATTTCACCGACACGAGACCAATTTGCATAGAAGTTAAAAACAAGGCAAAGAAAGCACCAACCTCCCAAGGTGGCATTTATTGCCGACATAGAAGGCAATCTACGGATGACAAAACACGGAAATGCGGAGTGAGGGTGCTTTTCAATAAATGCCTAGAGAAAACTAGCCAGTCTTTGTGTAGACGACAACATCCCTATATACACATATGTGCTTGAAATAATATTGCCTTTCGAACTGTTCCAGTTATGTTTTATTAATAAAACGTTAGGAAAAGAAAAAAACAAGTATTTCTACGCTAGTCAACGAAGTCAGGTATCCTAGATTCAATGCCCTTCGATGCTTACCCAAAGAGAAATGAAAGAAATCCCACGAATATAGGCAGATATTGATTAGATATGGCGTTGCTAAACCGGTTTCGAACCCAACAAGTAACTAAACGCAAGTCAAACAATTTAACCAACTAGAAACCAAACTATCAAAACTGGGGATATTGTATCAAATACTATTTATTTATTACAAAATTCAGCTATTTTTAAAAGGAAATTCCCCACAATATCGGTACTTCCCTACTATGCACATAAATGCATGTCATTGTCTTTACGCCCATTCACGTGGTTTCGTGAGTACATCCATCAATTCTTGATGACGTTTATCCTCACACGGTTTATGACAATAGACCCATTCCTATAAATAAATAGTAAAAATCACACAATTATACTCCACCACTGAATGAAAGTAGGAAAGAGGAGTGAAAAGGTAGACTAACAGCAAGAGGAGGCATGGAGACGAAGATACTCTCAATTCTAGCCTCGGGAGTAAAGAGACCGAACTTAGTTCCACGATCGTAGATTAGATTGAACTCGACGTAACGACCCCGACGAATAAGTTGCCAGTGTCTATAAGGATTGTATATAGAAATTACAGGTTTGAATCCTTAGACGATCAAATCTCGCTCTCACACATGGACTTACCTGTCCCGGTCGGAGTAGGGGGTGAGCATACGTCTAACAATTATGGGTAAGTAAGAAGGTGCAACAGCCGCAGCACAGTCCTAACAGAAAGATTTAGACAAAAAAGATTCCGCAAACCGTACCCTGACGAACGTGAAAATATCCTCTTGGGGTGAACTATCAAGATCATCAAAGAATATGCCACCAACTCCGCGTTCTTCATCTGAAAGCAAAAAGTAAATGAAGAACCTAGGACAACGGCTCCTTGACTCTCGGACCAATTAAATTCTTTTTTGATAAAAATGAAAGAGCCTTCCTTTGATTGATTTGGCTTGGCATGATTTCTTACTATTTTCCACAAGTACCTAATGACTAATAAGAAGCTTCACAGAAGTCTGAGGAAAACAAATTCAACGATTAGGGCCTAGAATTTTTTTAGGAGAGCTTAGTGTACATTTTGTATTAGATACTCTCAGCGATGGAGGAACGTTTCCACATTGATTCCAATTAGGCTTGCATTTTTTACACACACACTTAAAATGGATCAAAATCTAACTGGTAAACAGAAGTTAGCAACCGTTCCATCCAAATGAATATGCAACCTTGGATATACAAAAGTATTGGCTTCTTGGAACCTTCCATCTCCACGCACTGCTTTGTCGATAGCTATGCTTAACCATAAGTTTCTGCTTATTTAACCCTAACATCGATACTAATCATATAAATGTCTAACAGAGAAGTTCTACCCAAATAGAGAGTGTCACTATATGAACAATAGCTTAAAATTTAAGCATTCCAAATAGGTGATCAAAGCATTAGCCATCACCTAATACAAATGTAAACTTCCAGATTTTCAACCTCTTCTTCTCAGGAGAATAAAGTCCATGTGGTAAGATAGATAAAAAAACTTAAGAATTCAAGCCTTCACTAATGAAGAGACAAGGGTGATTTAATTAGCATACAAGCTCTAGAAAGCTAATGTAATGATGAAAATGGCATCATGATAATATAAAAGTCATAGAATCGAAAACGGAAAAAATTAAGTAAAAAAGAAAATGCCGGTTCTTCAAACACGCTCACCCAACCGTAGCTTACCTTTAAAATTGACCCTACTTTTCCATTTTCTATCACGGACGCATCTGTCTCACTTTTCCACGACTCCAACTGATCAATTACTGCAATCAACTTCTCTAGAGCTGGGGTGTGCGATAGACTTACCTCCACGTGGTGCACCCTGGGCAACGTATACTTATACGGCAAAAAGTCTATTGATCGTCAGTTGACTTCTGACTTCAAACTACCATCACCCCACTGTATCCCATATTCGACTAATTCGACAGTAATCACCTCACCATTTTATGTCTTTGTGCCTGTCTGTCTGTCTGCCGCTTTTACATCTGTGAATCACTCTTCTGTTTCCCATCTCGAATTCTTCTCATTTTGATGTTTCTTCTCCTCTCTGTGAAGACCTGAAGTCAGCTTCAGGGTTAATGATAACTATCAAAACGCCTGCCATTTGATATAAATAAATAAATAAACTTCTCTAGAGCCACAAAAATTATCACGCCTTCTCCTTCTATGAGCCTTCGCATTATCTTAGCCGTCCGACTTATTTTCCGACTTTTCGTAACCCTGCATGTTACTGATCTTAGAATTACAACAATAAAAGCTTTCGGAAAATATGATTTTGAGCTACGAGGAATCAGCTAAACAACGGGACGTACTTCTGTGTTTGATGAAGAAGTACTTATCACACCACCTCTTGAAATCAGGGTAATAAGATGGATTATTAACATCACAAGCGTCTTTGAAGTGCTTGTGG